AGTTGGACACATTTATTATTTAAAAAAATTTTTTTAGTTGTAGTTGGACAAAATACCCTTATTTTACTCATTTATTTTTAGGTGGTGCTGAGGATGGAACCTAGGGTCTCACATATATAAGGTAAGCGCTCTACCACTGAGCCAAGCCCACATTCTTATTTTTAAAAAAAAATATTTATTTTTTTAGGTTTAGGTGGACACAACCCAATGCCTTTATTTCCTGAGGATGGAACCCAGGGTCTCACATATGCAAGGCAAGCGCTCTACTGCTGAGCCACAACCCCAGCCCTACACATATTGTATTTTTTTAAAAAAGTCAAAATGCGCAAGAGCAGTACACACAAAGGTGGGGGCGCTGGTGCCTGCACACCTGCCGCTCACCTAACCAGCCAGGTGATGCTCAGCAGGTTACCCAACTTCTTCCACCCACGCCTGGCCTGTTTCAAACAAAACAGAGACCCAAAACAAACTAATAAATAGCAGTGTCCTCCTGGAGCTGGCACCATGAATGCAAAGTCCTTTGCATGGCCCCTCCCACGTGGGAAGCTGCAGGAGTGCCTGTTGTTCTTGTTCCATAAGCCGCAGAGTCAGTCTGCAAACTGGAGCTGCCTGGAGAGAGGCTCATGAAAGGAGCGTCTACAAAAACCTCTGCACACAAGTAGAATACTGAACAGCCTCCGCAGACCAGCAAACTGGAATGAGAACCAAATGTGGTCTTCTAGGCTGACGGGAATGGGAAAGTTTTATTTTAAAAACAGCAACTCCTGGGCTGAGGATACAGCTCAGTTGGTGGAGTGCGTACCTTGCATGCACAAGGCCCTGGGTTCAATCCCTAGCAACACACACACACACACCAAACAAAAATCAAACAGCAATGCCTAATTGGCTCCAGAAAAGATGATTTACCCCACACACACTCATTTGGTTCTGTTTACCCACCCCACCTTTTATTCTTCCACAAAAAGAAGAGACTCAAAATTCCTTGTGTGTGTGTATCACCGTTTATTGTAGTTTGCGTTAGGAACTGAACAGAGGACATGGTCTGTGGAGGGGGAAAAAAGGAAAAGAAAAGAGAAAGTATGTTTCTGTAGACTTAATTTCTTCAAAACACTTTATGGTTTCAAATCCTTTTTTACCCCAAAGGAAAGTCAAGAATTCAAGTATGTTACTTGGGAGCGGTAATACAAAACGCCTTTGCCGTGTGCGTGTGTGTGTGTGGCTGGCTGTGAGTGTTTAAACAAGCACACCAACATCCACATTTCTTGCACCCTTTTTTGCTTTGGTAAGGCCAAACCCCAAAGGACACATCATACAAACGAACCCTGCCTCAAACTCAGACTCAAGGGTAGAGCAATTTATTTACCCTCATAGGATAACGGTAAAGGTTTTAAACTGTCACACAGCATTAAAAAGACCAACCCTCACCCCCCAAAACCATCAGTTGCTAAGTCCTGATATCCCTCAGCATCTGCTGCAATTGCTCCTTTAGTTCCTAACAGAGGGCTTGTTATAAGGACCAGAGCAACAGGATTCTCTTCATGTTGATTATAATAAAAAAAATTTAAAAGGGACATCTCAAAAGGAAAAAAAAAAAAAACTGAAATTCAAATTCTGAAAATATCTTGCCTTTTTTATTAATCATGTCATCTAACACCAATTAAAAAAACAAATATGAGAATATGATATAAAAATACGATCCCAGGATTAACACTTTGTCGCAGGCACAGTTATCTCACAGAATATATGTTTGGAGGGTGGGGAAAGGAATTTGTTTTTGTTTCTTTTAAAAAAAAATCCACAGCAGTGCAAGTAGGGGCAGGAAGTGGGAGAAGGGAAAAGATTCTTTAGCAGCAAAATGTCCGAGTTCTCTAATCACAATCAAATCAACGGATATTGGATTAAAAAAAAAAAAAAAAACAGAAAAAACAAACAAACAAAAAAAACTCAACAACAAAAGATGAAGGGGATGCTGCCCAGGCCCATTTGCCATCACTAAAAGACTTCCACTGCAAAAGCCCCAAATCGTGACATGGAAGGACATGCTTTATTACGCAAGCAACCATAAAACCTGTCCCTTGAGCTTTTGACTGTGTCTGTCACTTAAATATATGTACAGGAATTGGGCTCCTCTTCTCATTCATGTCCCTCCAGATCTCTACTGTTTGGTCACTGGGCTGGGCTCTCGGGAATTTGGCCGCATCTGGCCAGATGCCTCTGATGTTTGAGCAACAGTTGCACCGCGGATGCTGCTTCTGCCTGCCTCGCTGGCCTTGGCTGCTCCCAGCAGAGGGGGCGAGGGGGACGGTTAATGATCGCTGTTCTGTTTCTCTCTCATCCATGCCTGAATCTGTTCTTTCAGTTCTGGCACTAAGGGGAGAAGAAGAAAGGAAAATTAGTGTCCAGGTGGGAGAACTCTTCCTGAGATGAGGCTTGCATGGAAAGAAAACCACTCATTGCCTCGTTAGCTGAAGCCTGCAGAAAACAGGACAGAACAGGAAGGGCCAGATGTCCACAGTGAAAAAAGACGCGCGCACTCTGTGTCTTTTCTGTAGAAAGGGCAAGAAGCCTGGCAGAGCCCGGACTTGGCCCTTCTCCCTTTCTGGCTGCCTCTGGTATGGTTCTGGCTGAGCTCCTGGCACTGAGGGCACACTGCAATGAGCTGTGCCCTCCCTACCTGGTTCCAGCATGCTCTCAGTCAGCGTCTGCCGGTTGAAGGGGTCAGTGGGGGAGTTCAGCAAGTGCCGCAGGATGATGGAGCGGTCCATGATGGTGCCGGAGGGCAGCCGCACGGGGTCAGTCATCAGGGTATCCATCAGAGGGTCTGCAGAGAAAAGCAAAACAAACTCTACCTGATGATAGGGGTTAAAACTGAAGAAAAACAAAACCAAGTCCCTCCCACCATCAAAAATACATCCAAAGGAACAGCAAATGGCTTCTCCAGGGTTCCCAGTTTGGGGAGGAAACAGCATGAGATGAAGGCACATTCACTGCCTTGTGGAGAGGGGAAAGTAGTCTGTGTCGCCACTGCCGGGAAGAGAACAAAGACCTGAGGGCAGTTATGCAGCAGGCCCCGAAGGGCTGGACCTCATCCGGACTTCTCAGAATTCTTTGAAAGCATGAGTCCTCATTTACAAAAGACAAAGCTGTCCTTCAAATCTTCCAGACTGTTATGTGGTTTGAAATCAGGCTAAGGACATTTTTTCAATTTACACAGTGACCTAAAAATAGGCAAAAGTAATTTCAGACAGAGCCTTTCAAGAAGCAACGGTAAGCCATGTGTGTTGGTGCACTCTATAATTCCAGCGACTTGGGAGGCTAAGGCAGAGGATTCTAAGTTCAAAGCCAGCCTCAGCAACTTAGCAAGACCCTAACCAATTTAGTGACACCTTGTCTCAAAATATAAAAGGAATGGGGATGTGGCTCAATGGTAGAGCATGCCTGGGTTAAAGCCCAGTTCATAAAAAAGGCAGCACCTGTACCTGTAGTGCATCATCAAAGAAACTGGAAGTACAGGCAGTGCTGTTAGCGTATATTTCAAGTAGACTCAGATCACAGTGGTCAGTGTGAAAAAGCCAGGCCACTTGCCTCTGAACTCATCCGGAGCGTCACTGTAGTCGATCTCTGCGCGTGCGTTCTTAGCCACTATCTCCTCTACTTTTTCAGCGAGAAGTTTAAACTTCTCTATTGCTATAGTGGATTTGATCCCCGCCTTCCGCATTTTTGAAATTACTTCTTCAAACAGTTCCTTGCTGTAGGATCTCTGCATATGAGGAAAGACAATGTAACACATGAATTCATTCTGGATGGGAGAGCAAGTCCCAAATATAATCCATCTGTGGTATCTCCCCCTAACAAAAACCCCCCCAAAATCACCAGGCACAGGGTACATGCCTGTAATCCCAGCAAGTCAGGAGGCTGAGGCAAGAGGACTAGTTTCAGTCCAGACTCGGCAACTAGGAGAGACCCAGTCTCAAAAATAAAAACGGGCTGGGAATGGAGCTCAGTGGTAGAGCACTCCTGGGTTCCATCCCCAATATAAAACAAACAAACAAAAAACCCAACCCCCCCCCAAAATCTCTGAATTCACATAATTTTGTATTATATATATATATATTCTAGTTTTCTCTGTGCATTTGTAGCTAGATAAAACATAAAGGATAGTTTTTTTATAATTATAAATGCATCAAGCCTGGAATAGTATGTGCTCAACTGAACAAGGCTATCATTTATGAAGAGGGCTACAGGATTAAGGGGAATAGGAAGCTTTTGACTTTTGAAGTCAGTGTGCCTTCCTTTTAAATATAAGTTTAAATACTGAAGAGACACAAATTTTGCCCATCTCAGTTCCTGCGGAGCACTGTATTCTAAAAGCCTATGAGAGGAGGGGGCAATTTCAGCTTTCTTCCTTAATGGTCAACAAGGTAAGAATAGTTCAAACTCAAAAGAAGCCTTCTCCTATCCACTACCGATCACTTCACATCACTTAGCTTAACACTGTCACGTCAGGTGCTCTGCTTACATGTGACCATCCCAATAATACCAGTGAACAGGCCTGGGGGCAGACACAATCTATGTCCCAGAGGAGGGTGGCAGATCAGAGGTATCCACCAGGGACCCAGACAACTTGAACATCGATTTTGGCCCTAATACCCACCAGCTGTGTGCGACCCTAACTCTCCTAAGTGGGAATGGGAACTTACCTAATTCACATAAATCACTGCCATTACACAATATCAAAGTGTATCATTCCTTACACTTACCACTAAAGCTGTGGTCACTGGTTGATTTAGTGACAATGATACAGAGAAGGGAAATAATTAAATCTGAGACCCTGGGATAGGACCACAATCTCTCATCATGTCACCTAATGCCAAAGAACTCAGACAAGGCTAAGCCCCAGTGACCAAGAGATAGTGTTGCTGTCTTGGGCTCTGCTCACCCTCATGGCCCCTTCTCCAAATGAAGAGGACTGTGTCCATCTGTCAGGCAAGCAACTGGGTGCCAGGCCACAGTACACTCTCCCCAGCCCAGCATAAGAGCATTGGCCCCGGGGCTCCACCTGGAGGGGCTTCTATGATTCTGCCTCACTGCAGGGTGCCCTGCTGACACTGCTGCTCACCTTTCAGCTTTAGCTTTTGGGCTGGGACCTGTTGTTCCTATCTGGATTCACATGGATGTCTTCAGCAGGAATTCACCTCATACTTGCTTTCTTTTAGAGCACTTGACCAAATTCCCCAACCTTTCATCTTTTTTTAACTTTGGTTTCTAAATAAGCGTACAATCTTGCTTTCTCTCCACACACACCCACACCCCGCTAACCACGCAACTGGGGAAAGGGAGGAAAGGGGCTGGAGATTTAGCTGGGGGCTGGCATGCTGGCACTGGCACAGCAGGTGAGGCCCTGCGTTCACCTAGCAACACACACCCAATGGGAAGCAGAGAGAGAGAGAGAATGAAGGGGGGGAAGGAAAGGAAGGGAAGGAAGAGACGGGAAAGGAACCAAGAGAATATGGGCAAGGGGAAAGCGGCAGCAGGGAGGCTGGGCCCCAGACACTCTAAAAGGCCATCTTTCAGGAGCCCCGAGGCATACAGAGTGCCTGGTTCAAGTTTCCCGAAGCTAAATGACCTCATGAATTCAACAGACCCTTTACTCAGTGCCTGCTTATTGTCACGAGGTAATGGCAAAAAGCTGCCATAGGCACTACTGCACCATGAAGGCACTAATACTGAGGGCACCGGTGACAGGCCAAACAGCTCACTCAGCTACATCCTTAGGTTTGGTGTGGCAGGTGTCAGAGAAACAGATGACTTTTTTTTTTTGGGGGGGGGTACCAGGGATTGAATTCAGGGGCACTCGACCGCTGAGCCACATCCCCAGCCCTATTTTCTATTTTATTTAGAGACAGGGTCTCACTGAGTTGCTTAGTGCCTTGCTGTTGATGAGGCTGGCTTTGAACTCACGATTCCTGTCTCAGCCTCTAGAGCCGCTGGGATTACTGAGGTGCGCCACGGTGCCTGGCTAAAAGATCATGTTCTTAACTTTAAGAATCTTACTATAGAATAGTTACAAAATTAAAACAACAATACCTGCAACTCATACATCAGATAAGGATCTACTGTCCTGAATACACAAAAAATTCTTTCAACTCAACAAGAAACAACAAAGTGTCCAATTAAAAATAAGCAAAGGACTTGAACAGACATTTCTTCCAAGAAAATATATGAATGTCCAGAAAGCACATAAAAAGGTGTTCAACAGTGTTTCTCATTAGGGAAAGAGAAATCAAAATCACAATGAAATACCACTTTGCTTCCATGAGGATGGCTACACAAGTTTGTTAACCAAAAATTAACAAGTGTCAGTGAGGATGTGGAGAAATCTGAAGACCTGTACACTGCTAGGGGGAAGGTAACAATGCAGCAGCTGTGGAAGTCGGTGTGGGCCTTCAAAAGCTAATCACGGAATTGTCTATGGTCAGCCACTCCACTCCTGGGCATCCGGGAGACCAGAAAACAGGTAATCAAGGAACTCAGTGAGACTCTGTCTCTAAATAAAATATAAAATAGGCCTGGGGATATGGCTCAGTGGTCAAGTCCCCTTAGTTCAATCCCCAGTATCCCCCTCTAAAACAGGTATTCAAATAAATACTTACATGAATGTTTATAGAAGCATTATTCATAATAGCCAGAAGGAGGAACAACCAAATGTTCATTAACAGATGAAATATTCAGCAATAAAAAGGAATGAAGTGCTGAAACATTCATAATATGGATGAACCTCAAAAACATTATTTACCTATTTAATCCATTTATTTTTATTATTGCTGGGGATGAAACCCAGGACCTCATGTATGCTAAGTGCTTTCTATCACTGAGCTACACCCCAACCACTCAAAACCAGTATTAAATCCAGGAAGAAACACACACAAGTTATGTACCACATGATTCTGTTTATATATGAAATGTCCAGAATAGGTAAATCCAAACACAGATAAAATAGAGACAGAACCCAGAATTATGGTTGCTGGGTGAATGGAGAGTGACTGCTTAATGGGTACAGGTGTTCCTTTTGGGGTGATAATAATGTTCTGGAACAGAGATGGTAGTTGCATACCACTGTGAATGCATTATACACCATCTAATTGTACACTTTAACATAGTTAATTTATATTATGGGACTTTTACCTTAAAGGAAAGAAAGAAAAACTTGAACAAGAAAACGAAGCACTAAATTTACAATAAGAAGGCTCAATATTCTGGTAGGTTAGAGAAGGAGCTTGCCTGGGAGATGTGCAACTTGAGATGGGTTATTTTACTTTTCCCTGGGAACAGTGTACTAATGCTCCATGAATGCTGGAAAGCAATCTGTGGAACTGGATCTGCCCATGAAAGGACGGTCAGGTGTGGTCATCAATGCCACCTGAGTTCCCCTCAGATCTCCCTATCCTGGGTTCTCTCAGTTCCAGGGACCAACTACTAAATGCCACTTCTCAGTAGTACAGAGCCCAGGGGCTCTTCATCCCTGCAACTTTATCAACCTCCTGCACCTGGTCTTTAGCCCTTTCCTGATGTAGGAAAGGAAAGGAAGACTCTTAACTTTTTCCTTGTAAAGATGTCATTTTTTTCTTTTTTTGTTCTCCGTGAAAACAAGACATAGCAAAGCAAAGCAAAGCCAACTATGATGATTTCTTCTGAAGGAGAAAATGGAATTCTGCTGCCTCTCCTCTAATTCCTCTGAGCGCTCAATACTCCTATCCCAGTCCTGAAAACCCTCAGATGAAACCAGCAAGTAGCAGAGTACTGGGATGCACACCTGTGATCCCAGCAACTCATGGGCTGAGTCAGGAGGATCCTAGTTCCAGGCCAGCCTCAGCAAAAAAATTAAGTGAGACCCTGTCTCAAAATAAATAGGGGGCTGGGGATGTGGCTCAAGCGGTAGCGCGCTCGCCTGGCATGCGTGCGGCCCGGGTTCGATCCTCAGCACCACATACCAACAAAGATGTTGTGTCC